GATAGCTCCCTCTCGCCAATGACACCACTCCTCCAACACGAGTTTTACAGCCAACAATTCACAATTCAGTCTCCTATGCCATAATTCTTCTCCGTTGGTGTCAATTCATGTGAATAGAACGCGACCAGGTGAAGCTTCAGCGGATTACCGGAACATTGGGATAGAACAGCCCCTATACCAGTTTCCGAAGAGTCAACCTCTACTACAAAGGGTTCAGAAGGGTCAGTATGCTGTCTCTCAGAGCATCATTGATAAAAGCTTGGAAGACAGAGGTGCGGAACTCCAAGGCACATTCCACTACTAGAGCGGCGGCCCTGACAGAGCTTTGTTAAAATTTCCCCACTGTGCTTCCCTTCATAGGTTTGATCGAATATGGTCCTGAATTCTTTCAGAAATTGGCTGCACGACAAATTATGAATATGAGACCAACTGGCCGTGGCACATTCTAAGGCTCTATCTGACAAGCGTGAAACCACAAACAATATTTTAGGGTAATCTGAGCTAGCTGGTGAATTATCAAAAAAGACATTTATCGGGGTTGCCATCAAATTTGTCTGGATTACTCACTGGAAACAGAGCAATCAAAGTTTCAGCTTGGGTTAGAGGACTGATGGAGCTCACTTCCGGCTCGGCTGTGCTGAGGGTCTGAAGTTGAGGGGTGGGATCCTTCACGCTGTTAACCAGTAGTGCCAGCTGAGGTTGTTGTTCTGACTGTTGATGAGCTAAGGACTCGAGGGAATGAGTTACCCCGGCTAATACTTTTGGTGTCGGCCTAGGAGATGTCCTTGCTTGGTGAGAGCTTTCTGAAAAGCCTCTGGATCCGCCATCTGCATGGTCTGCGAGGTATTCTGTATCATGACAGAATGACGCAGAATGTCACAGGTAAATGTTGAACGAGAGGGTACACTGATGTAAATGTAATCCACAATCAAAGTCACAAAACAGGCAAAGGTCAGATCCAAAAAGGGCAAGCAACACAAAAACACAAACATAACCAAGTAAACAGTCCAAAAGGGGTCAGGCAAAAGGCAGGTCAAAAAACAGGGCAAAAAACATCGTGGATTAATGCTGAGTATTTATACCTTTGGTACTGATGTTTCCTTTTGAGAATTGATCATCACATTAAAGTATCAATACTAAGTGTTTTAAGCAGTAATCTGATTATCTACAGTACTGATGCAAATGCCAGAAACCACCCTTTTATTTATTTATTTTCCAGTCAAAGTGGTCATTTAGTACAAGTTATTCATTTTTCCACCTCAGGAAAAAGCAGAAAACATATATTTAGAAAATGTAATCAGAAAATTACAAAATAGCATCAACAACTAAATATAATATAACATTTTCAGTATTTAGTGAGTCTAAACTTTGCCTTTATTACAGCTTCAATTATTTTCAGATACTTTAATTCTGTACTTCCTTATAGTTTTTAAGGACATTTGCAGATATAATTTTCCATGCTTCATGTAAACACCTCCAAAGGTCAGTTTTAGAAGTTAACTGCATTTTCTTTTCTCATAGTCCAATTAATCCTAAACAAATTCATCAATGTTGAGGTCTGAGCTATGCGGTGGCCAGCCAATTGTTCTGAGAACACCAGAAGCTGCTTTGTTTGATAAATATGCCTTGATCTTCTCAGTTGTTTGCTTGGTGTTGTTATCTCGTTGTAGAATTAATTTCTTTCCAATAAAACATTTTCCAGAGAGCACTGCATGATGTATTAATATTTGTTTGTATCAGCATTCATGATGCCTTCAATCAAAAACAAATCACCAACTCCAGGTTTGGTTATACATCCCCAAACTTGCACTTTTCCTCCACCATGCTTGTCTGATGGTTTTAGACATGGTTCAAAGAGTTATTGGTAACAATATAATGTGGGTACATAAAATAGTATTTATTCATGCATTATTTCATGTGTGAGTAATCATTAATTTAATAATATGCATAAAGTAACCATGTATTGTGCATGCCTTAATGCAGGAACAATATATTAATTCTTGTAGAAATTAAGGTACCAGTATTATCAGTTAAAATTGGTTGTTCATGATGCTCAGGCAGCTCTTCATGGTGGTCTGCATTGAAGTTATAGAAAAACAGAATGGTGAGTCAGTCCCTCATAGAACAAATGTTAAGGTTTTATTCAGCATTACTAAAGCATTACTTCTTCATAGGTTCATGATGCTTGTGGCCCTTGAAGTGGTGAAATATTTAGCATTACTAAAGCATTACTTCTTCATGGGATCATGATGTTTGTGGCCCTCAAACTAAAGTGGTGAAATTTCCTTTTGTTGTGTTAATAAAAAGTCTTTACATAGAATTCACATACATCTCTCAGTGGAGCCCATAAAGTACTAATTTTAATATTTCATAGGTTGCGTGAGTCCATCACAGCAGTCGAACAGGATCATATATCACGTTCAGTGTGAAAACTGCTTTTACACTGAATGCAGTGTGCACTTTGCTTGCCACTCATGTCTGCGGCTTGCTGCTTTCTATGGAGTTCATTTCATGCCAAATGTTTAAAATAAAATTATTAAATTCACAAGCAAAATATTGGGTATCAAATTGTCAGTAATTTGTTGTAAATACAAATAACTGATTTGGAGTGACAGGTCTTCCGACCATGTAGCCACTCAGCCCCAGCATGGAAGAACACGTTGTACTGAGTGCTGCTGTGAGTGCGGCATTGTTTTGGCATATCAGATGTTATGAGCAATGTCTGTCATATTCTTTTAAATTATTAATGTAACACATGTTTATGGGTCCTGTGTCAACTTGTCTAAAAAGATATAACTGTTATTTTGGGCATTGACAAACATAAACTTAGTTGTTTATGAATGAACAAAGCTGTACCACCTTTTGAGTTTGCAACTGTTAGCTTAACAGTGTCCTCTAGGGCTAACTAGGAGAGCCATACTGGATTGGAATGGCCAAACATAACATGCCTACTTTCCCCTGACCCACAACACCGCAGATTTAAGATTTCCTTCCCCAACACACCTGATTCAGCTCATGTTGGATATTCAACTGATAAGCTCCATTAGGTATTTTAAGGTAAGGAATAGCTGAAACCTTGTGGAGCTGCACTTAACCCCACACGGTTTCAGCTATTCCTAACTGATTTACACAGCTGCAAAGCTTGCCTAGTTAGCCGTCTAGCTGACTTTGCTGGGCTAACATTAGTTAGCAACTGCAAACTCGAAAAGATGATACAGCTTCATTCAATAGCTAAGTTTACTGAAATACTTCAGTTTCCAAAATATGTATTTCACACAGCTCGACACAGGAGTTGGAGTGTGTGTCTTAACTATGACCAACACTGTTTATAAGGGCGCACATGTCAGCGCAGTCCTCTGGCAGTACTACACTCAGTGCTCTGCCATGTTTGAGAAAGATCATAACTCTCAGAATAAGTTCAGTGTTCAGAAGACCTGTCACTCCAGATCAGTTGGCCAGTAACAAAGGCCTCTTCTAAGACCTGTTAAAAAATGCCAAATGTCAGAAGCAAAAGAAAAATTTCAGAAGCAAAAGAGTGATTCCAGAAGCAAAAAGATATTAGCAAAATCAGCAAATAGAGAAATGCAAGCAAAAACTGGTAAAATGACTAATAAATTTATATCGGAATAATTGAAAATTAATAGACATTTTTTTTTCAAAGTTTGACTTAACTCTCATTATTTGTATTTGCAACACATTTTGAACATTTTTATACTTTATACATTTTGCTTGTAGATTTAATCATTTTATTTGAAATTTTTAGCACAAAATAGCTTTCACACCACTCACAGTATGAGCAGTGCTCGTCCATTTGACGCGATAGGGAGCGACGCTCTCTGTTAAAACAAACCTCTCAGGTAGCGACATGAACTACCATACACGGCTGCTGCCCTCCTTTTGGCAGCACCGAGACATGGCCGAAGCACATCACGCAGAGGTTGCAAACATTTGAACTTTCAATCACCCTGCACATCTGCCACAGCATCTTTGCGCAGCGAAAACAATGCCTAGTTCAATACGCTGGATGAAAACGTCACTGCCACAGTAACTGTTATTCGAAAAGGGCAAAACACTGTCTAATATAAGAGACTGTGCAGCACCAGTGTCTCTCAATATTTGTATGGGCTGTTTATCACCTGTCTCACCAAGTGATACAAAACTGAAATATGTGAATGGTTTTCTCATGGGCAACTTCAACCAAAGTTTGACTGAACTTATACGCCCTAAGTACTGAAGCTTTTACAATGTCATACTCCATACTCTGTTCTAAAGATAGGGCTGAACATACTTCCTGAGCCTTCTCTGTAAGCTTACACTGTAGCAGCAACGACCATTAACTTTTGGGCCAATCCAATGCAGTAGCTATGTGTTCAAGTACTCCAACAACATATTCTTCGGTCTCTTCGCAGCGGAGTGGCAATGACAGTGATGCCTGTCTCCCTATCATAAGTCGGTGTACCATCAAAATTATTTTGAAGATAAAGTTATTTTAAGATAAAGTTGTTACATGATATTGCTTTAAAGTTAACAATGAACAGCAAAGTATTTGACTGATTTTCTGCATGTTAAAAGACCTACTTACTCTCATCCTTTGCCTTTGGCACGCAAGAAGAGTTCTACCAGCTTCATTTTCTTCATTACCATTTACACAGATCTCTGATCTCTCTAATCAGTATATCCATTAGACAGACAGGTAGGAGAGAGAGGTGCAGTAACGAGGGTGGAATGGCACTTTATGCATTTTAACAAATCAAATGCCTTTAGACTCAGTATTCGGCAAGACAATACATTGACCTTCAAGCACAGATCACCCCCGCCCAAATCTATGCCTATACTGCCTTTCACAGTCAGTTTTAAGTAAAGTGGTATAATATTTACACATAGTCAATTCCCTTTATATTCCCACTTAACTGTGAGAACATAAAGGAAATATAGGTAATATACCGTGCTAAATATCATTATGCCTAACTGTTGTGCTCTCTACTTATGTCTTTTAACAGTGAACACCTTGATGATGAGCGTGCTGTCAGGTAGGCCAAAATATATTTTCCTCTGCTTAGGCATTGAATAAATAAATTCCTACTATTTTCCCATGATTACCACATTTAAAAAATACCCACTATTATGTATGTTTATAATTCTGAATAGTTGGAGTCTACTGGTATACTTAGTAGGACTTTCTTGTAAGAACACTGCATGTAGCTACCTGAGCATCACATCTATATGAGCTTATTGAAAAGCCTATTCCAAAACCATTGTCATTAATATTAAGTTGCCCCCTTTGTGGCTGTAACAGCCCCAGCTCTTCAGGAAGGCTCTCCACAAGATTTTAGAGTGTGTCTGTGGGAGTTGTGCCTGTCAAAAGAGCACTGATGTTAGACAAGAAGGCTTGGCTCGCAATCAACCTTTCAATCATCCCACAGATGCAGTGAGGTTGAGTTCAGGGGTTTGTGCAGGCCAGTGGATCTCATTCACTCCAAAATCATCAAACCATGTTTTTATGGACTATGATGTTGAAACAGGAAAGTGCCTGCTGCCAACTGTTGCCCAAAGTTGGAAGCATATACAACAACCTTCCATTTCATTAGATACATATCCTTGTTTCTAGACTCATTGTCCATTTTATCAGGTCCATTTATCATATAGGTGCACTTTGTACTTCTACCATTATAGATTGTAGTACATCTGTTTTGCTGTATAATTTGTTAGCCCCCTTACTTCAATGGTCAGGACCATCACAAAGCAGGTATTGTTTGGGTGGTATTCTTAGCACTGCAGTGACACTGACATGGTGGTAGTATGATAATGTGTGTTGCACTGGAACGAGTGGTTAAGACACTGCAGTGTTACTGGAGTTTTTAACCCTTCTGTTATGCTGCAGGTCAAATTGACCAATTTCAAAGTTTAACAAAGTAATACTTTAGTGATGCTACATATTCTCTATTAAGCTATATTTAGTAATTAATATATTTAATTATATATTTAATGGACTTTTTCAGGGGCACATGTCTTTGTGCAGGCCTGCCCTACAGAGCGTAGGTTTTACTTCAACTTTGGGAGGGACACACTGCTCATACCACCTGGCTCATGATGTGTTTTATTTTTATTAACAAGAAGGCTATATTACATTAGAAATGTGCTTTCTTGTCATTCAATATTCCAGACATTTTTGCCTTGAACACTTCAAATTACTATAACTATTTTTAAACCAACATGATAAACTACCTTTTACTGGAAGTAATTCACATTTATAATTCATCATTAAAACAGTGTTAAATCTATGAAAGCAGCATTATGCAAGAATTAGTATTTTTTATTCTTGAGGTCCCCCTACAGTTACAAAGTGTATTCACTTTTACACCACTATCATAAATACAAATCATACTAACATTGTGCATCTGTACTCTCTCAGAGGTTGAAAAGATGAGCAATATGAACAAAAAATGATAGCCCAGAAGGCTCTAGAACACATCTTTGACCAGGATAGTGAAGAGGAGGAAGTGTCTGAAAGTGAAAATCTTGAGATCAGGTCTGCTCATGATGATAAATTGTCAGATGACAAAAATATTGTCCTACAGCCATTAACTCCAAGAGAGACATTCATATAAAAAATGGCATCAAAACATGCGTCGAGTCAGTTTGACCCAGAAACATTATTGCTGTTCCTTTCAGTTGAACATAACAGGAGAGTTAAACACTATGTCCACTCACTGTCCACTCTATAGACACACCTATCTTGTTGGTCTAACTTGTAGTTGTAGAGTCAGGGACAATACCGCATCGGTCGCTGTGCCGTTAGTCATCCCCTAGTCCTTGATCAGTGGTCACAGGATGTGTTTAAAGATTCTAGCACCACCACATCATTGTGACTACAGAGCTAGGAGTGATCCACCAGTCAAATAATGCTAAATTTCATGCTAAATCTTATGTTTCTTTGTATCCATATGGACACCTTACTGCACATATTGCATTTTCTGCACACCGTATTGCACATCTTGCACATCTGGACATTCCTCAGTAGACACTTTATTTTGGTACGAATATCTGCACATATTTATTCAGTATTGTCATTATATGCCGTTACCTGTGCCTCCTTGAACAGTCATTATTGCACTGCGTCTTTTCATCTCAGGTTAAAGATATTGTTACAGATTGTTGTATTTTTCTATTTGTGTATATGTCTGTAGATAGGATCTTTTTATATGTATTCTTCCTGTTATATTGTTTACATCCTTATTACTGTCCTGTGTTGTGTGACTGCTACTGGCTGCTAAATTTCCTTCAGGATCAATAAAGTATCTATCTATCTATCTATCTATCTATCTATCTATCTATCTATCTATCCATCTATCCATCTATCCATCCATCCATCCATCCATCCAATACCTGCTCTGTGGTGGTCCTGCGGAGTCCGGACCACTGAGGATCAAGGTAAAACGGGACTAACAGAGTATGCAGAAAAAACAGATGAACTACAGTGCACTTGTATAATAAGTGCGGGTTGATGAAGTGGACAAAGAATGTAGAGACAAGGTGGTGCGAAGTGGCTGGTCTGTGTAATTGTCTGAAATGTCTTTGTATGTTTAGCATTAGCAGTACCCTTTAATGAAACCAAACCCTGAAAAACAGCCCCAGACCATTATCTGTCCTCCACCAAACTTTACTGTTGGCACTGTGCATTCTGTTTGGTAGCGTTCTCCTGGGATCTGCCAAACCCAGATTCGTCCATCAGACTGCCAGATAGTCAAGTGCGATTCATCACTCCAGAGAAAACATTTCCACTGCTCTAGAATCCAGTGGCATGCTCTGTACCACTCCAGCTGATGCTTAGCATTGCGCATAGTGAACTTAGGCTTGTGTGCAGCTGCTCAGCCATTGAATCTCATTTCATGCAGCTCCTAAAGCACAGTTCTTGTGCTGAAGTCAATTCTAGAGTCAGTTTGGAACTCTTGTATTAAGTGATGCAACAGGGAAAATGTGATTTTACGCACTACCTTAGCACATGGTGACCACACTCTGAGTTTGTGTGGTTTGTCACTTTGTGGCCGAGCTGTTGTTGCTTATGGACACTTCCACTTCACAATAATAGCACTTATAGATGACTAAAGCTCAGTGAAAATTTCACAAACTGACTTGTGGCAAAGCTAGCATCCTATGACAGTGCCACTTAAAAGTCACCTATTCTGCCAGTGTTTATCTATGGTGATTGCATGGCTATGTGCTTGATTTTATAAACCTGTTAGCAATTGGTGTGGCTAAAACATCTGAACTGAATAATTAGGAGGGGTTTCCACATACTTTTGTCCATATAGTGTAGCATATACTATATATTTACCAGGTACACAATACATTTTTAATCTCTCTAATCAGAAAACACTTTACTGTCATCATTGTTTTTTTTTTCTTCACATTACTATATGTGACAGACAGTTAACCAGTTAACTGGTAAATGACCAGTTTGCTGGTGGGTTAGTTTGTTAACCAGCTAACATAACAATATTCTATGAAGTTCATCAACATAAAGGAAACGTATTGTAAGCAAAAAAAAAACAAAACATTATTATTTACACCAGAGGCAGCAGTATTTAAATGCGACTTTTTAATGTAACAAAAATGGTCTTTGCTTGTACCTTGCTTGTACCTGTTGACCTCTTTGTCATCACTCTATTTTCTCCACAGCAACAGAGGATATTAAGCTGACATTCATGCACAAGCCACGGATTCTAGAGTGTAATAGGACAGTTCTTCAGCTGGAGATGGAGAAGTGTGGTGAACGTTTTAAGACTGATATGGAGGAGGTGGACCCTCAGAACTGGTGCAACTTGACACATTTTATTGGGTAAATGTCATTGTAACCATTTTTATATTTTTACAGTATGCTCGAATGTTGCTAAAATAAAGTGAAACTACAGAGGCAATACAGCAGCAACACTGCATTACACACATTCATTACAGGGCATTAGATAAATATTAGATAGAGATTAGGTAAATATTATCATTTACTGCAGCAGTATGTGTGGCTTTGGAACAATCACCACTATGCTCTTTAGCACTCTGTGGTCCTGCTCTGTGAGTTTGTGTAGCCTACTGCTTTGTGGCTGAGCCGTTGTTGCTTAAAGACACTTCCATTTCGCAATAATAGTATTTGACTGGGGCAGATCTCGCATGGCAGAAATTTCACAAACTGACTTCTGGCAAAGGTGGCATCCTAGGACAGTACCATTTTAAAGTCACTGAGCTTTTCAGTACAGCCTATTCTGCCAATGTTTATCTATGGCGATTGCATTACTATGTGCTTGATTTTATACACCTGTTAGCAATGGGTGTAGCTGAAACATCTGAACTCAATAAATAGGAGGTCCACATACTTTTGTCCATGTAGTGTAGCATAGTGTAACAATTGTTATTTGCTGAGAACAGACATCTATATTATTTTGCATATTGCTGCTGTCGGAACAAAACCTTGCATCTCCAGAATGATAACTTTACATGAGAAGGAAAAAACATACTTACCTAAGTCCTTGTAACCAGACAATTTCAATTTTTTTGGTCCATTCATCATGAAATCTACACACAATTTAAAGGACAACAGGCATCAAATTATTGCAAAAACTGAACATCAAAAATGTATAAGGTTTTGTTCAGACAACAGTGATACATTAGAATAACTTGTTAATCTGGCATTTTACATTCTTAGTATGAGTATGATTTAGACTACAATATAGCAAAATCACTATGGTAAGTTGTTAATGAAACCCAAACTTTTAAAAGTAGATTTTGTGTTTGTGTGTGTGCTGGTAAGCTGCCAAAGGCAAGTTGCATTATGAGAATTAACGATAAAGTCAAACAATTTGACAAAACCAGTTCAAATTGCATAGCTTTTTGGGTTTTTTTTAGTTTGCTATATAGAGTTTATATATAATATAAATAGAAATGTGTAAATGTAAATATCCTATGCGTTTTTATATGATCATTGAAATCATTACATTTCATAAACCTTATTGAGCCCACTTACCCTGTGTAGAACATTTACAGTATAGAAATTCCATCATCAACCTTTGTCAGCAGGGTTTTCACAATATACATAAGTTCTATTAATAAGGGATAGAAGACACCAGGCATAAATCTCAAATCACAGGAAGAGAGGCTCACTTAGAAAGAACACATTACATTTTATCAGCAGTCCTGAAGACAAGTCATGTGCCTAATGGACTGCAAATTCCATCATCAACCTTTGTCAGCGGGGTTTTCACAATATACATAAGTTCCATTAATAAGAGATAGAAGACACCAGACATAAATCTCAAATCACAGGAAGAGAGGCTCACTTAGAAAGAACACATTACATTTTATCAGCAGTCCTGAAGACAAGTCATGTGCCTAATGGACTGCAAATGCCTCAAACATAGTTGCCCTAGGACTAATACTCACTTTAGTAGGAAACTGTATTTTTCAAAAGCAAATAGCGTGGCGGTAGCTTTGAATGTTTGCTCATTCATAAACATGGATTACTGCCGTGTTTTATGCTTGCGCTATGTGAGTTGTGTTCCCATAATTTAAATATGGTGGGTGTGAGTCATAATACAACACTGTGCAGCAAAAAATAATGCCTGAACCACTCTGGTGGTAATTGTCCTGGTAAGAAGCAATTGTTGATTAAATTATATTTTCTATGATGTCTTCAAACATGTTTGGTCACACATACAACAAATCTTCTTACTGCTGATGTAGCAGGACAGAGGTGAAAAATTACGCTGGAGACTATCCCAGCGGTCACTGGGCGGAAGGCAAAATACACCCTGGACAGGTCACCAGTCCATCGCAGGGCAGACAGACAGACATATAAATACACATACACAATCACACCTAGGGGCAATTTCCCAATTTTCCCCAGTGTGCCAACCTATGCAAATCAAATTCTTGATGTCAGGATTGGCTCCTGTCAATACCTGAATTAAAAAGACACCAGCATGCTAATCACCGTCATGGTGTGTTTATGAACAGCTCTTATTTACCATGCTGCACAGTTTGTGTTGTGTAGTGCTGTTACCACCAAGTTTCATGAATCTGGCCCATTATCTTGTCTTTTTTTCATGCACAATCTGTGTTAGTCATCCTCTATACCCGGGGTGCCCAGTCCTGGTTCTGGACATCTACCACCCTCCAGAGTTTAGCTCCAACTGTAATCAAACACACATAACCTTGGTAATGAAGGCTGTCAGGGGCGTATGAACATTAGATCCAGGTGTGTTGGATCTGAACTTTCCAAGGTGGTAGATCTCCAGCGCAAGGATTGGACACTCTGACCATTAGACAACCACTGGCTGTCTTTGGCTGACAGACTATTCTCAATAAAATAGTTTAAAAATCTCAGCAACTCTGCTGTAGAGATGAAACGGTTACCGGTTTCACGGTAAACCGCGGTAAAATTAATGACGGTTAGTAGTACCGTTCACAATCGGTGAATCAACTGTGAATTGAAACTAAAGCTATTAACACATATTTCTGTGGAGCAGTGTCTCCAAAATGAGCTCTGAGTTAAGTCACACAAGCTCTGGAATGAGACGCTCCAAAAGTTCAATCAGCACAGCTCCCCTTTCTCGCCTCGCTTGCATCGTTTACTGTCTGAGAAGAGAATAACACTGTCTCAAATCACTCAATGTCCCCTACATAGTGCGCTACTTTTCAAACAAACACAATCATCATTAACAAACAGTTGAGTTTTAAATAAGGAATTTGTAACCTATTGTTAATGTTGATTATAGATGACTTAGTCAAACATTTCATGCACTCTTTGGGTGAAGGATTTGCTATTTCATGATCCACGAAGTGCACTACATAGGGAAGATAGTGTGCTTTGAGACGGGACCTTGTGCGAGTAAACGCTGTGTGCTGCTTTTAGGAAAAGCAGAGTTTCAGAGATTAAACTTTAAGAGTGTTTCTGCCACAGCTCAGATGCATGTTAATTTTAAGTTATGTTTTAGTTTTAAAATGCTTTTAGAGAGGCAGCTCCACAGGTGAAGGCACACTGTGTGAGTTCTACACCGTCTGCAGCTCACAGCACGGTCACGCAATTCCTCTGTGATTTTGGCTGTTTTTCCTGGTGCACTGTATTGATTAGGGGTACAGCGCCACAACAGCACAATAATGATGCAGTTGCAGTTCGGACAGAAATCCCCCGAGTGCAGCACTTCTTAGAAGTAGTAATTTTCCATTAAGACCCACCTCAGAGTTGGTCGAGATTTAATTCTCTATGCAGGGAAATCCCTAGTTATTGTAATCAATAATAATAATAATAATAATAATAATAATTGTAATAACAGTAATAATAATAATAATAACAGTAATAATAATACATTTCCTATTCTTTTGTTTACAGAGTGTTACAAGTATTAAAAATACTTTAAAGTAAGTATTAAATATTAAGTATTAAAAATTATTTAAAAGTAATACTACAAATGTATTGACTATATTTTTTTAATCTTTATGCAAACAAAAAGTGCATATTGCTGCCAAATCTAATTGTGTTAATATAAAGGTTGGTGAAATGAGTTTCAGTTTGTGTATCAGTATTTATTTATTTATTTATTTTACTTTTCAACACATTTGAACAATATCGTGATAATACTGATAACCGTGATAATTTTGGTCATGATAATCGTGATATGAAATTTTAATATCGTTTCATCTCTACTCTGCTGCAACAGCCAAAACCAATAACAGGAAAAAGTACTACCTGTTGTAATAATGTCCTGCTAGATGTGTTTGTATAGTGGGTTCTGCGTCTCTTATCAACAATCTGTCTGGTCGATGCTCAGCTTCCTTGCATGAAGTTTGTCCTTGTAAAAGAGAGCAGAGATAGCGGTTGCTGTATCAGTCATATGTGCGTATCTGTATTGTTTGTCATAATAATGTTGTCATATTGTTTTATTACCCACTTTTGTCTGGGACCATGCGGATACATACTCCTCATAGTCATTACTAATCAATATTACTCACTCAGCTAAATTCCTACCAGCTGCTCTTTTCTGCATGTATGTCCATAAATAATACTGAATCCATTAGAAATTCCAATGACAATTGATTGTCCTTGGAGCTCATTAAGAAAGGCTATTAGGAGTGTGCCTTGTGCACAGATGGGGCTGAAAATTAGATTGAAAATACTGTGGGCATCAAAGGAAGCTATTTTTTTCAGACCTTTCAAATTACAAAGGGCATGACAATAAATTTCATTTCTGTGTAGGAGACAATAATACTTTCACAACTTCACAACAATCTGTTTTTTTACATGAAAACAGATGTTTTGAAGTCTCATGTTTAATTCTTTCCTGCCTTACATAGAAATAAATAAGCATTATTCTCTATTAATTATTCTCATCTAAGATGGAGGAAATGCACACAAAGAAGAACAAAAAAGGTCAAAGCAATAAGATAGAATAAAATGCATGAACACAGAAAAATGTATTTTTGCTTGAGTACATAGCAAAAATGACTATTTTGACTTCTCTCTTTAAATACTCATAGAGATAACTGTGAAATGTATAAATGAATACATGAGTCCAAGCTAAGCTGATGGTCACTCTAGTCTAACTTATCATGCAGTCAGTTTCCTTATTCTTTGCTCTATCCCACTTGATTTGCACAGTTTAAGTGGTAGCAAACATAAACATATTATTATAATTAATGGCCATTGCAGTTAATGTTCATGAAGCTGACATGACTAATATACATGTTTACTAATGTAATTCTTTAGCTCTATAGTGGGCAGTGTTCCCTTTTTGACTGAAAAAAGAAACACTGAAGTAGACATATGGCTTTTTGCAAAAGCTGTACAACGGT